AAAAACTCTGTTTTTCAAAGGATCTTCTGAAAAGAAGGGCGTCCAAGTAACTGCAGTAGTGAAGTGGTGATACTTCCGGGAAGCTGAGTGAAAGGATCAGTCATCAGGAAGCAGGATTGCATCCCGGGTGACAACTAGACTTGGAGAAGGCGTGGAGAACTTCTTAAGTGCTAGGGACTAAGCTTTGTAACCAATCTACTTCAAAGCTAGTGGAACAGTGGACTAGAGGAACGAGTTGTTCCTTGAACCACTATAAAATATCCGGTGTCATTTACTTTACTGCAATTTTCATTTCTGCACTTAGGATACTAACTGATTAACTCTAAGACTTGGAATCTGTGTTCAGCAGATCTTGTTTTAAGAGCTATCAGAAAGGCATTTGCCTTAGTGTTTCTGAGGCTACCCGGACAGATCAGAATCCGCTGCCAAGGCCAGTTCTGATATCAGAACCAGCCTTTCTCTGTCATCAGAATCAGACCTTCTCTGATAAGTCACTTCGGACTTAGAGAAAATTTGAAAAACCGACCAGTCTATTCACCCCCCCCCCCCCCCCTCTAGACTGGTTACCATATTAAACGGGACCAACATTAACATTCTAAACTTTTATTGTAAAATAAATAGTATTACCCCCACTATATATAATTCTAATGTTTTCAATTTGATATTTTAAATTATGCCTTTAACACCATAAATTTATATTTTGAAAGAAATAATACATGATCATGGTGTTAAAATAACTTTTCATATAAAATTTGAGGTATTTAAATTACATATGAAAGTTTGGGGTGCTTATCTCACACTCCTTCAAAGTTTGGGGTATTTTAATTATTTTCCCCTATTTTTTTTCATTTGCTATAAATCCTTGGTAAGGATTTGTACATTTTTTTAAAATGCAAATTTTGGTCCTAAGTTTTTTTTAGCTTACTACACTCATACGTATACCACATAATACGCCGGGGGTCTATGGTTAGTCCAGCACTCCAGCAGCAAAAAGGGTATAGAAACGTGGGAAAGTGCATTCTTGTAAGAGGATCCGGAATCTGTGTCTTGCTTTAGAGCAAGGTAGGGTGCTCGGCTTATGGGGATCATTCGATCAGAAAGTCAACGGCAGCAGATTTTGGAGGTCCATATCTCGAGGAACCTTCTTGCCCATTTGCCCGTTGGTTGCCACAGAACAGAGGATCTTAATCCCGTGCAAGGGTGTTTGGTTTATTTTGTACGAACTAGACTAGAATCCAGTAATCCATATACACATGAAAGCATGTGGTGTACGTTTTTTAGTTTAATTTAATACGTACAATGATAGTATGAAAGCAGCTAGGCACATCTATTTTACAATATTTTGAATATAAATTTTTCATTTTTCTTGTTTAGCTCACCTCACAAATGTTAAATGAGTTTTGTAATTCACCCGGCTGCGCAATTCACCCGCCTTAACGAGAATTTCATTATTTTCAACAAATTAAATTTAGCTAATTCATTCTTTTTCTTAAAATATGTTACATTTTTCCTAGAACTGTACTAACTTTTTTTGCATAAAAAGAAATTTTATTAGGTAAAAGACAGTTGGGTACAATGCAGGAAAGAAAAAAGAACAGAAAGGAAAAATACAGTTAAAATAAAAAGAAATAATTACATAGTATATATGACAAAAATAAAGATGATTTACAAAAAATGACTAGTGACTAGAGTAATAATGAAATCATAGTAATTCATGTTCAAGTTTTGAGTCTAAGTTACCACAACGCCACATTGTAGTAATGAATAGTCATATTTACGTAAATACGTTTTAATTTAGTAATACTCTTGTAAAAAACTCAAATAAAAAACTATTCTCATGGGAAATTTTAGGCCTGCGATCTAGAATTGTACTAACTTTAACAACCGTGTTCTCAAGAAATAGCAATGATAAACTCTCGTATGTAAACTTATTTAAGTTATAAGTAAGTTAAATAAATTCTTCTCTAAACTTTAATTACCATATATAATTGCATAAGTTGTTGGTTAATAAAAAAAAAAGATTTAATGTCAAACATCTTGTGGTTCAATAACATCATTGTGATACTCCAATAGAAAAGATCACAGATTCGAAACTCGTCTTAATCAAGAACGTTGACATTTGAAATTAAACATATATGAAGTTCTATAATAAGAGACTAAAAAGTCCATCAAAAAAATATTTAAAATTAACCAAAAACATTTACTCCACACACGTAAATACGTAACGCATAAATTAAAGACCAAGAAGTAGTCGGCAGATAATCCATGTTTGTTTGTGGTCACACCTTTTCAACTTTGAACAATATTACGTATGACAATTAACTTTTAGTGTAGTGATGTGGTTAATTGGATTGAAATTTTGAGATCTTATATGATTTATTTGAATCGGATTTGATCTAATCTGATTTGAATTAATCTAACTTGATTTGGTCAAATTAATTTGATCTGGTTTGATATATGTTTGTCCTACGTGAGGCTGGTATAATCTAAGATAGGACTAAAACTAGATCAATTAAAATACATATTACGAATGTTTTAAATTAGACTAAAACTTTCTCGTTTGGAATGATTCTGCATGGTATGATGATTCTGATATCGCTTGCTCTGGCCTAAATTGTCTACAACTTTTGAAGTCTAATATGGTCTTGTTTGGTCCATACTTCTAGATTTAATAAAAGAATATACATATGCGACGGGTATAAACTAGTATGTCTTGTAGACAAATTTTTCCAACTTAATTAATTAGGATGTTTTCTTTTGGACTTTTTTCAGTCCCAGACTAAACCAGACCAGACCAGACCAGACCAGACTAGACCAGATCAGACCAGACTTGACTTCCGTAGTTATAAAATAAACAGAGACCAGACGTTTACCAGATCAGACCACACCAGACCAGATCAGACCAGACAAGACCAGACCACCAAATTTCAGTCCAAAAGAAAACATCCTTATTGATTTTAAAGGAGTAAAATTTATAAACTATATACTTTAGTTATAAAATAGTTTATTTAATCAACTATTGGACTGTCAAGAATTATAAAATGTGAAGAGGAATTTTTCTATACTTTATTATCCCAATTAAAAGAATGACTAAACATAATACGATAGTATCCTGTAGATTACACGTATGAAAAAACAAGATAATAAAAGAATATTTTTCACGATCTAAGTAAAAAAGATTTATAATTACCTCAATACCTTGGCTATAGAATTAATTAAACATATGTAAACCATATTTATTTATAGGTAGATTCTATGCTACCCATAAAGTACCATTCTTTTGTCCACATGGACCAATGTGAATGTTGCAGTTGAATTATTTAAATTGAAAATGATAAAGTGATGTGGTCCAATCAAATGAATGATAGATACGGTACCCCCCATTTTTAAAAGGGTACCGGAGTTGTCACCATTATTGTAAATCATTGGCATATACCTGTTGTAAATCACTAAATCCTTGGCATATACTACGTATACAATTACTTGCTACTTGCTAGCTAGGACTAGTATTTCTCAATAGTACGTACACCATATTCACAATTACTTGCTCCGTATTTCTCAATAGTTCACTGTTTTAGTGGACAGACCAAAGCAGGCTCCGTACTTACTTTTATACTCGTATGGTTTATGAAGTTTAACCATGTTTTTAATTAGATTGATTTTAGATGAAATCAAAATGACTAAAAATCAAATTAGATTTGATTTGATCATACCAAATTAGGTCATACTGAGATAACAACAACTTTTTCACCAAACACGTAACTTTTGCTTTCGCTTGCTGAATTGTGTAATAAGCAGAAAAAGTAAAGTTGGAGTTACTTTTCTGGCTGTATTGGCTTAAGTTACTGTAGATGATCATTTTAACTATTTTTACATATATATAATTTTTCTTTACTTTATTAATAAAATATATTTTTAAAATAATTTTTTCTTAAATCAGCAAAATCAGCCAATACAGCCACTTTAGCCAGAATTTCATAAATTTCAGCAGAATCAGCCAAATCAGCAGATTTTCATGCTACCAAACGGGCTCTAAGATTTGATCAGATCAGACCAGTTTGAATGAATCTAGTCAAAGTTAATAATTAAAAGAAAAACATAGTACTCCATAGTCCATAAAAGGTACCAGTAGTAAATAAATGTGGAACAACTGTACAAAGATAACAAAAACATGAAAGAAAATATAAAAATAAGTAGAGAAAAAATGGAAAAGGGAAAAAAGTTAAGAATGTTTTTATTTAGTTTTCAGTTCCAAATCAGATAATACTAGTTCAAATCATATCAACTAGACGAGACCAAAAAAAATCATTCTAATTAAAAACATCTCAAGACTCCGAGAGATCATAAATCGACCCATAAATTGCAATACAAATTACCAAATGGGCTGAAAATTTTACTCGAGGACGGATGGTGCAAGTACTGCAGGCACAAGCATTATGAAATTTGATCATGGAGTGACAATTTCTTACAACAACATATTTGGATTAATGTCATGTGATGTGACAAAGTATTATTATTAGCTGTCACGCATCTCCTTTATCCTAATTTGGGACAGGTATGATACCAAAAAAATGATCTCATGGCGGAGAGTGACAATTTTGTAATCTCTCAAATTGCACAAACTATATAGTACTTCAAACAACATCAAATTTAGCAAAAAATGATTTGGGATGTTTTCTTTTGGACTGTTTTCAGTCCGAGACCAGACCAGGCTTAAACAGACCAGATCAGACCAGACTTAAACAGACCAGACCAGACTTCCATAGTTATAAAATACACAGAGACCAGACGTTACCAGACCAGACCAGACCAGACCCGACTTAAACAGACCAGACCAGACCAGCAAATTTCAGTCCAAAAGAAAACATCCTTCGTCCTTATCATATTTGGATATTTCAACTCTTTTGCGAAATAAAACTTTGTTAATTGTGAGTGGAGGGAAAGATCATGTTGGACACACACACATACGATAGTATATGTGTAAATTACTATACATATATACCTGTTGCTGATAGGAGAAGATGTGAGAAACACAGCCATAGACAGGGTCACGGAGGCGAGCCTGAGCCTCGAAGCAGACGGTGACGACGGCGTCAGGGCGGCGGTGGGGCGGAATGTGACGGAGGAGCTTGGAAAAGTTGCTAGCTCCGAACACCTTGTGAACTGATGCAAAGACAGAGGAGCCCTGTTCCGGGTCGAAGAATGGAGCGAAAATGCATCCCACCACGCACTTCCTCCTCAGGAACTTGCATGCTCCGCACGGACCCAATACTCCGGCAATGCCGCCGCCGCCGCGTCCACCGCCAATGCTATGACTGCTTGAGCTCATGACCGCCGGGTCGGATCCGTTCAGACAGATCTTCTTTGGACTTGATCGAGCTTGTTCTTAGCTAGGATCGTTTTTTTAATGTACGAATTGAATTATGTGTTTGTGTCTATTTATACTGATTTTCAAGCACTACTGCTGACTCAGTATTAAGGTCAAAAGATCATTTGTACGTTTGTACATAAATGTCACCCGTTCATGCGTTTTATTTTTATAAAAATCTCCAAAGCAATTTGTTTACTCAGCATGTTTTCTTTTGGACTGAAATTTGCTGATCTGGTCTGGTCTGTTTAAGTCTGGTCTGGTCTGTTTAAGTCTGGTCTGGTCTGAAATGGTCTGGTCTGGTCTGGTAAACGTCTGGTCTATGTGTATTTTATAACTACGGAAGTCTGGTCTGGTCTGGTCTGTTTAAGTCTGGTCTGGTCTGGTCTGGTCTGTTTAAGTCTGGTCTGGTCTGGTCTGTTTAAGTCTGGTCTGGTCTGGGACTGAAAACAGTCCAAAAGAAAACATCCTTATTACGTAGTACAATATCCCCCCTATACAATTTATTACGTATTTTCTTTTTTTTGTCAACATAATTGTTGTTGTGGTATGATTTTGAGTATCGACTATCGAACTTTAATTATATTTCAATTTAACACTGACTTAATTAATTTAATTGTATTAAGTGACCAAGCCCATCGACTCATCGAGTCACAATGTCTAGGTGAAGACTGATTTAACTAAATTTCTTTTACACAATGCACGTAAAAGCTGTACATTAGGAAGCCGATTGTGGAGTTCAACTCCGGTTTATATACAAAATATTCATTTATTTATTACTACGTAAGACTTAAAATTAAATATTTAGCCTCGTCATTTATGTATGTAGGTGTCCATTACTTTAACCATTACTTTAAAAATTTACAGATCAAGTCCCGTAACTAATAATTATATCCACATTACCACATATATTAAAGACTATTCTATTGAAAAATTGGAATGGATTATTTCCCTTCCAATTTCGGTGAAACTTTTTTCTGGAAATTGTAAATTCTAATAAAAAATCATGTGCATATACTTATAAGTTACAGGGCATTAGTTTCACGATTAATAAAAGCGAATTGCAATGGATATGGGGGATTATGAGATTGAACAGCAAATTACTATGATTATTATAATTTATTATCATTGTACGTTGCTTATTACGGAGTATTTATTACTCCCTCCGTTTCGCAATCAAAGTCACACTTTTTTTATGTTTCAAAAACAAAGACACACTTCCCTTATTTCCTTATCTACATCAAAATTGTGTCAAACAGTGTCCAAAAAGTGTCAAACAGTGTCTAAACAGTGTACTCTACAGTAAAATCAATTTATTTCTTTAATAATTGTGAAGTCAAACTATGACTTTCTTTTGGAAACGGAGAGAGTATTATGTATTATCCTAAAATAGTACACTGTATAATGTTAGGTCAAAAAAGTGTTCAAAGTATTAATCCGTATGTTTCTTGCGTTAGGCAATAAATCTATAACAAAATCTGTTCTTGCAACAATAAAAGACCACTCAAATCATTAACAACTGTACTCTAATGTACTTTGACTCATTGACTGTCATGCCATCTTGGATCGCAAATTAGAATATGGGTACAAAACTTGATCAAATTTAATTTGCACTTACAATAATAAAATAAAATTGTACATGTAGTTAATATTAATGAAGTAGAGGATAATGAATTACACCATCGTATCACTATATGATAGTATCACTATATGATAGTCACAATAGGCTTTTGTAATAGTTTAAGAAAAATTATAAGTTCACTGTACACTTTTTGAAAAAGTAAGAGTTTTTTTTGTACTATAACAATACTGTAGCAGCACTGTAGTAGTACTGTAGCTGCTTTTTAAGTGGATTTATTTGCTAAAAATAAAAGTGAGACAATCGTTTTGATACACACAAAAAGAAAAGTGTGACTATCAGATACAAGCAGAGGGAGTATATAATTAATTTAAATAGAAATAACAATTTTTTTTAAGACCACTCAAATAATGTTAGGTCAAATAAGTATTCAAAGTATTACGAGTATGTTTCTTGCGTTAGGCAATAGATCTATAACAAAATCTATTCTCGCAACAGTAGAAGACCACTCAAATCATTAACAACTCTACTCTAAAATACTTTGACTCATTGATTGTCATGCCATCTTGGATGGCAAACTAGAATATGTTATGGCCTATGGGTACAAAATTATACGTATCTCTCATGAAACTTGATCAAATATAATTTGCGTGTATAATAATAAAATAAAAATTGTGTAGTTAATATTAATGTAGAGGAAAGAAAAATTGCTTTAATCACATTATATATCACTAATTTATACAGATAACAATTTTTTTTAACAACTACTCCGTAAAAGTTAAAAGAAAATTATACTAGTATTAACCAATTTTAATGGGATAGAGAGGAGTACGAAATCGGGCCTTTAGTTCACAGAAATTGCGAATGAAAATTAATTGGGTCTCATTTCTGCGAACTTTTCTAAAATAGAGATTCATTTTGCATCTCATTTCCTATGGAAATACCCACTCTCACTCAAACATATACAGTATAGTTTATGATAGGATCTAAAATATAGGTGAATTATCAAAAACATAAAGTGTGATCCAGCCCTATTAATCAAAGATTAAAATATCATGTAGTATTTTGATTTATATATGTTTTTATTAACATAATTATTGATTTTTGATAATTTTTTCTTCATAAAAGTTTATTAATTTAATAATATTATAATAAATAATATTTAAATTTTGAAATCAAAAATAGTAAAAATTGTGAAATATAAGGAGTTTTTTTCCGTATTAATGTTAATTAATTAAATAATTACGAAAATGGGGTTGGGTTAAAAGTATTTACCAAAATACTGTTGGGTTAACCATGGTCGGGGTAAGTCGTCCAACGGTTGGGCGACTTACCCTTAAGTAAATTCATCGCAAGCACCAAAACAGAACGCATAAACCAAAAGCCCCAAATCGATCTTACCTGCAGCAACGAACGAAGAAGGACGACCGACGAACGATGAGAGCCATCTCCAACTTCGGCGAACCTCCATCTCCGGCGACCCCATTCCGGCGAACCTCCATCTTCATCTTCAACACTCTTTCTTCTTTCTTCTAGGTAAATCAAACTCCATTTCATCTCATTTTGAACTTAGGGTTTTGAATGTTAAAATTTTCGAATTTTTGGATTATGAATTGATTGTGAATTCAGTTGTTGTGAAATGTGGATATGTATGAAATGCTGAAATTTGATTTTAAATTGATTGTAAATTTTAATGTGTATTTTGACGTTTGGGCATTTGGGTAGACTTGAATGTAGCTAAATTTGGGTATTGAAAGGTAGACTTGAATGTATATATCAAAATTTGGGTAGTTTCATATTGAAATGTGAATTGTTTGTGAATTTTGACTTTTGGATATATTACAATTTTGGTAGCTTTTTCTATTGAAAATTTGAATGTGTATAAAGTGTGTATATTGATGCCTACTCATGAATGTTGGACAATGAATTGTTATTAGAATATGGATTTCTCAAGCTTCCCAATCATGTGTCATTGGGGAGGGAACTATTATGAGGATGTTGGGCAAATATGCCATGAAGTTGGTAAACCAGCTTTGTCATGGTTTCTCGTGGCACTTGCATGCTCGAGATCCTTCAAAAAATACATGCAGCCACAATGATTCATCCTAGCCGTTCTTTGCGGTTGAAAATGATATTTCCCATGAACGGGGAAAAGTACATGCTTATGCCCCTCATTGATGAGCTAGCTATAACAAATATGTGGGGCATAATTCAGATGGAGGATATGTCGACGCTGGAGATATACATTGAGGAATACTGTGACGCTTATGGTACTCAATCAACATCAAATGCTGTTGTATCTACTCATGATGTCAATGCAAGGGTGAATGCAGGGAACTCCTCAAAGGCTCCTGTATTGGACATGGTTATACAGGAAGATGGTAGGTATTTGCACAATGGTGCATCATTTGTGGATGGGCAGGGAAGTGATGATGATGCTGACGAGAACATCAATGGTGATGACATGACAGAATCTGATGAAGGTGATGGTGATATTGTCACGGCAACTGCCCTGTCTAGCCACTTTACTAGAATCTATGATCTCCCTGAAGGCTTTACTGATGCGTGGATGAGTGGATCAGGTGAGAAAAGGTTTACCCCCGATGGTGAGTTTGAGGTCGGTCAACAGTTTGACAACAAAGAACAAGTCATCAATATGGTGAGCTTGTATTCTATCAAACGGAACCAATTTTATCGGGTGATAGATTCCGATAAACTCAAATGGGTGGCACAATGCAAAAGGAAGAAAGAATGTGATTGCCCCTGGAGAATACGTGCCACAAAGAACAAAGGCAATTTCATGGCATTGATGGACACCCACTGCCTGATGAGCCTCCACGTCTTCTAGGACCACATCATGTACGGGGCGAGGACCCTCTAGGCCGTCGGTATGTTTTCAATCGTTGGTATTTATGTGATTGTATGTTGGACGTAAATATATTAATAATATCCATATTAATGATACTGTTACATGAATGGTTAGATGGCTATATGCTGGTCTATCTCGCATGTCATCCGCTACTGGGCTCGGTGTCTACAGGGATGCATTTGATCTGATGTCTGAGGATCAGGTATGGTGTGGGTAATATAACATTAACTATAATATGTATAACATAAATACTAATTTTTGTATCTTTATGAAACAGATTACATGGATGTTGTATACACCTGAGATGTTTGCAGAGTTTTCCCCAGCTGGACGAGAGCATAGTCACATATGGCGAGCACGTGTGCCGTTGATATGTTTTGACATTATTGAGCTTCATTTGCCTGATAGAGTCTTGCGACAGTTTGGGTTTGAGCAGGTCATTCCACGGCCTACCGACACTTATGTTGAGCTGCATAGGCTAGATAGGCGTGGGAAGCATACATAGGATTGGGCACTGAGACATGTCCGATACGTCACTATGTGGGAAAGGCGAGCTGAGCTAGT